ATTGGAGTGGGTTCATCACAGTTCAGCAATTGTGTGTCCTGAGAATCTCCACTGTGTTGTCTACCTCGTCACTTGCAATCAAAGGCATTGGGTTGTAATGAGAATTTTCCAGTTCTGTTGTTGGAATTATGCTTGATCCTTTTAATGCCATGGAATGTACTCTCCAGTTCTGTGCAAGTGTCAATCTCTCCCTTGTGCAGATATTCAAATGTTCCATTTAAGGTCCACATCCAACATAATCTCAAGGCAAAGTAGATTGTACCTTTCCTCGAGAAGGTCACCGTTTTCTCTCTTCCTAAGAGTTGTTTTCTCCTTTCTCCAATTGCCAGTGGGTTGTCAGTTTCCGAAGTCGATGGTAGCTCCGGCTAGATTGGGAGGAAGATCAGATCTCCATCTCCGACATCAATGGTTGCCGGAATCTTCTCTCGCGGTCCCTTGACACGGATCCTGGCCCATCGAAGGTGGTTTTTTAGCCCTCTCTCTTCTTCTGTTTCCAGCCATCCACCACATCCATCCTCGATCTCCCTAAAGGTGGAGTTGGACCAAAGACGCAGCGGAGGACCAACCACTCGAATCTAGATCCAATCAAGGTTTGAGCTACTAGGTAAGGTTCCGACGGTTGGTGACCACCATTGTAGCATCAACTATCTGTTTTGCCTCTTCCAGTTCCCCATCAAAACATGTTCTGCCACTGTTCTCGAACGGAATTCGAAAAGGAATTTGGATTCATCCATGTCGTATACTTAAACTCCCTAGGCTCTATTCCAAGTTTGTTGAGACCATCTTCTGATGTCGTTACGAGTTGGAGTGTCTTCAGCTCCTGTGAAACTCCCCACCAAGCATCTGTCCAGCAGGCCTTTTTCCTCTGTGTCTCTATTAGTCCATTTGTTCTTGAAAAGCATCTCTTTGTAGCTCTTCTCCCCTCTAGTTTGATTAAGGAGTTTATGCTGCTTGTTTGTGATTAATGTTGTACGATTTCTATTAATGAAATTTTCTATTTTTGCAACTAGAACATTCCATCCCTCATTGAATGTGTTCTCTGGCAAGATAATTACTGCTCTGTCATTTCCTTTAGCAGTAATCACTGAGACGAATTTTTCATATTGATTGAACTTTTGTGTTAAGAAAATGTTGGTTGTGTTATCTTTGCATTTCCAAGACTTGAAGGTTTTTCCTCTGTTCTTCGATGCCTCCTTGAGCTTTTGGCATATCCAAGACTTGCTGAGTATCAGTCAGCTCATGTGGTGTGGTATCTTGCACTTCAGATCCAATCATACCAAATCCCTGATTTGGATTTAGATTATGTGATATCATAAGATTTGCCTCCAAGGCGGAAGAAGATTATGTTGTCCATGAAACAAGTAGGTTGAGATGAAAAAAGGTGGGTTTTAGATGGCGGCTCCGGTGGAGAAAGTCCACCGGAGAGGGGAGAGGCTGTGCCCAAAAGGGACCTCAGTTAAGGGTCATTGGGGAATGTGCTTGGTAGCTTTTTTGCTATTTGTTTTATTATTCAATCAATTGCTTGACACCCTTTTCTATCTTTTATTGTTGTTCTTAGTTTTAGGATTTTGTTTCTGTTTTCCGCATTGCATTATTTGGTTTCAATATTTTTTTCTTTTCAAAACAAGTAATTTTGTATTTCTCAGCATATTACACATATAAGTAGGAAGCCATATGGTAAAAAGTTCAAAGACCAAACTATCCTTCAAATGTTGAACATTTTTGCCCTTCAAGTAAGCACTACTACGATTATATTTTTGTAAATATGTAAACAAACACTTTAAAGTTAAATAAGAAATAGGGTTAATTCCTACCTCACATTCATAGTATGCATTAAATTTAGAAAATTGCTTTTAGTAACTGTAACCCCAACATCAACTTTTTCTTAGAGTAGAATTTATTGTTCTTATATTAACGTACAATGTACGTGTTAGCTTGTATTAATGTAATATATACCCGTTTGACATTATAGTGAAGAATCTATAATGTCACTTCGATGACCTTTCTACTCCCCAACTGATACTTGCGAAAAATCAGCCGATCTATTCATGGATTATCCATTTACAAACTATTCTTCTTCGATCTCTTTTCAAAACTTATATTTGAGAAATAGTTATAATTGTTGTTTTAATATTAAATTTTAATGTTAATCCTCTGAAATGATACTTTTTTCATATCGAACCATGTTTAACACTGGATCAAATGTGACTCTTATCCCAACTAATAATGATATTTTTGAGAAGCAATCCAGATAAACTATAACTATGTGAAGATTGTAAAAGTGCTATTGTGAAATGGTACTACAAGTTGGCTAACTAGCATCTGTTTTGATCCCTTTCTTTTGGAATCAAAAGCGTAAGTTTACATCTCATTGCTAATATGTTTTGATAGTTGACCGATGTCTTTCGATCATTGTTGTACAAAAATATAAACAGTCATTGTAAGTTTAGGTTGGTATTGGGATACTTCAGACACTAATGGTAGACTTGAATTTAATACCCTCCTTGTTTCACTTTGTTTGTCATAGTCTGACTTGGAATAAAGTTAAATAAAGAAATAAAACTTTTGAAACTTATCTTTGAAATATGTCATAACTGTGTGACAAAAACTCTCGAAACTTATTGGTGTTAAACATATCATAATGTGTGGTTGTAAGAGCTTTCCATTGAGGAGACATATAGGAATGAATCATTCTTTTTTGGGATGGATACTAATAAAAAGATAGTGCCAAACAAACTGAAAGGAAGCAAGTAGTTCCCTTTCTTCTTTTTTGATGACTGTGGTGTTCGAACCAACTTTCGCGCACCTCGACTAAATCAACAGGATACCTGCCACCTCCCACCAGCAACAGGTACCAGATAACTTAGTCCACCAAGGCTAGAACAGATGGGAAGAGTCACCTAGTGTTTTTTGTATCTGCTGAGTTTTGAACCTGAGACCTCAAGATTCTCAATCACTTCATTGAGCACTAGGCCACACCCTTGGATGCCAAGTAGTTCCCTTTTAAAATGAAGTGTTTCTAATGTATTATGTATTTGTCATGGATGGATATGAAGAGAACCAACATCCATTTTATGGATCTTTATGAACCTTAAAGATTTTAATGAAAGATCAAACTATGTATAGACATTAGACAATACTTTAAATATTGAATTTTTTTATTTATTTTTTTTATGACAAGGGAAACTCGCAGCCACTACCCTTTGGGTGCGCACAGGGTAAAACCCCCGCTCCTATGCAATAGCTCGCAAACCACATAGGAGAGGTAAACCGCACTAGGCAAGCCTGGTGCGACGAGCTCGACCCAGAAGGCAAACTCCTTGCTTTCGCTGGCCTGGTTTCGAACTTGAGACCTCCAACATGGAAGTCCCAAGCTCAAACCACTGGGCCACCCCGAAGGGTATTGAGACCCTATTTATAGACCCTAGAATACAATCCTTTACCAAGTAAGATACTATTTATTGTCCAACTATAAAGATTCACAAACCAAACTTGTTTGTTCTGTTTTTTGAGATGAGAAATCTTTTTTTTTTTATGACAAGGGAAACCCGCAGCCCCTTTGGGTGGGCACAGGGTAAAACCCCCGCTCCTATGCAATAGCTCGCAAACCACATAGGAGAGGTAAACCGCACTAGGCAAGCCTGGTGCGACGAGCTCGACCCAGAAGGCAAACTCCTTGCTTTCGCTGGCCTGGTTTCGAACTTGAGACCTCCAACATGGAAGTCCCAAGCTCAAACCACTGGGCCACCCCGAAGGGTTTTAAATATTGAAATTGAAATGCTCCTTTTTGGATTTTCTTTCTAATAATTGGTCCTTCAAGTTTGTCACCTATAATTCGAAGAACAATATGCAACTGTTATCTCCAGAACTATATTCATACAACTCGATATTCTTGTGTGGACAAATTTTAGAAATATTCTACCTAACATGTTATTATTACTTGTAATAGTACAATTAATTTGAGAGAATTCCCAAAGCAAATTTCTTATTATTATTATTTCTACAAATGACACCCACATTTTAGTAACAGTAGTTGTACTTTCAAGAGGATACTAATATCACAACAGATGTATTAGTCACATCACAGAGCAACAAAGACATCATAATAAGCTATCCATACAACATCAATAAAGAAAAATTAGGTCACATACTTGAACTTCATCAAAAGTGGTATAAATACAAATCTCACCAACCTAAATAAATAAATAATAAATTATTTTTTTGCGATTAGTTAAACTACTATGTAGCTTTAATAGGATCCTTAATTCCCTTTTCATCATTTTGAGCTTATATTTTGTTATCATTAAATGTTTTGTATCCCATGCACATGTTCAATTAATATTTCAGTCATGTTGAAAAGTTTGTACTTACTAAAACTAAATACACGTGTTCACAAGCTAGTGTATCATTATAAGCATAGAAGTCCCCGGGTATGATTTGAACAGGCAATGCCATCTTTTTTTTCCAGAGCAACTATCACAGAATCAATACATATATGAAAATATTTCTCACGTAAAAGCACTTATGATGATCTATTTCCTACTTTTTTTTGGAGAAAGGATGGTCTAATTCCTGATGTAAACTAATCAAAGTGAAGAAAAGGGAAAAGAAGACGAAGTGACCATGGAAACAATCGTCACCAAGCAAGCAATATGTAAAAAATCCTTGAGAGTTGTTGCTTTTTTATGATAAAAGAAATTATTCTCAAAAATGTGTTATGGTATTAGAACAAAAAATATTTTTCCAGTATTCCCCCAGAAATCATCTTTAACATGACCATATTGACTTAAAACACCTTCATGTACCAAGAAGCATAAAAGATATTATCATTGTCCTGACATCCAACAGAACACAGTAATGGACAGACTACAAAGGAAATTATTGAATCTGGATGGAAGAAGCATACAATTTTTTAAGTGCACATAGAACAAGTAGGAAATTCACCTATTCTGCCTATGCTAATTTAGCTCATTGACAGGCAACGGACAGAGGAAACTTACATGGCAGAGAGGAATCTGAATTTTTTAAAGCATTGAAGGAACAACAGGCAAACAACAAATACTTAAGATCCCATGCAGCATTACATCTCATTACTGCCACACTAATAGAATTTCTTTTAATATTTCTTCATGCAAAATGTTACAGAAACTATTAAATCAAAACTTATTGGAAGCTAAAACCAGTTTAGAATGTAAGAGAGATGTAATTACAAACCTGATGTACAGCATAAGGCGCAGGGTACAGATTCTCTCTATATCCTGTTTCAGGATTTCCATAATTGGCAGAATATGTAAAATCTGGAAGGATAAATCACAATTTCTATTTTTATTAGTTGAGTGTACTATGAAGTAGATAATAATGATAAACTCTGCAGGAGCAGCAAACAAGTGGTTTGAATTACTTGGAGTTGCTGCAGAAATCTGGCGGTTTAAATTACTTGGAGCCGCTGCAGCTGCTGCTGCCCTTGCCCTCTTCTCTGCATTTGCAAGCTCGGCATGTAGTTTCTCAATTTCAGAAGCCAGAGTAATCTTATGTTTCTCCATTGCTTGACTATATTCAAGGTTGCTGGTGTGCATCTTTTTTTCATAGTCGATAGCAGCTCTGTTCATGTACACAGCAGAAAAAAATCTCCAAATATCACCAAGGGTATGAGAGCTTGAGAAACAACAATACAAGAACAAATGCATGCATGTGATGCAGAAATGACCAAAATGGCAATATGAACTACAAAGGGGATCATCTACTATATCTATAATGTGGCTTTTCCATAGCAATGTCCATTGACATCATAAAAATGTGACCTTGACGCATGATCGCCACAATTATTTTTTTATGATGGTGGTGTGCAGCCAGGTTGCACGCACATCGACTGTTTCACTGCGGCCAGGTTGCACGCACATCAACTGTTTCACCGAGTACCTGCTCCTTCCCACCAGCACAGGCACAAGTACATAGTAACTCTGCCCACTAAGGCTTAAGACAAATGGGAAGAATCAACTAGTGTTTTTAGCCACCACAGGGATCTGAACCGGAGACCTCATGGCTCTCCTCCCACTTCCCAGATGGATAGATATTTGATTGCCTATCAAAAAAACATAATGTGCCTTTAACCGCATCTGAACTAAAGTAGGGTTAACACATGACATTGGAGAAATTTAAGTGATATCCTTCATATACTAAACAAGGGAACAAGAAGTTTTGCTCATTAATAAACAAACGTGGAGGACCTTTAACCACATCTGAGCTAAAGTAGGGTTACCACATAATATTGGAGAAGGTGAACTGATATATCTAATATTGGAGAAGGTGAACTGATATATCTTTTGAGTTTGAGTAGGTTACATTTCAATTTGGATATAACTATGACTTCCACAGCAAACAAAGATGTCCAATTGTCCATATTTCATCATTGATTGGAATGGCATGTGTTGTCTTCCTTTTCTTTTCTAAAATCTGTAGATCTTTTTCTAAAATCTGTAAATCAGCATCTCTTCGCATGTCTCTGACATATACTAAGACAGAGGTTAGGCTTCTTATATCATGATAAACCATAATTATTAGGATGTCATGTTGTTTCACTGATGTAAACCTTGCATCTACTGTTGCTAATCTATTTGGTATTAAGAATCCACTTACACAGGTCCTGTTCCCATTAGTAAAACCAGGCTTGAAATATTATCTCTTTTAAAATAAAGAATGATTATGAGTCTTCCTTGAGCTTAGTGGTAGATTAAGGGGGTGTTTGGATGGGCTTTTTTAAAGTGACTTACAAGTCCAAAGCTAAAAGTCATAAGTTGGGGACACCCAACTTTTGACTATTGGCCTTTTTTGGTACTTTTTCAGCCTTAAAAGGTGCTTAAAAGCACTTTTTAAGTTACCTAAACACTTCCAAAACTAAAAAAATAGCTTAAAAGTCAAAAGCCACTAAAAATAAGTCAATCCAAACACCCACTAAATGATTTAAAGTCTTTCACTAGGTCAAGGGTTTGTGATTCGTATCAATGACAATCAAAAGAATAATCCATGATTATCTTTTTTTTTAGAATGAGACAGAAAATTATTATCAGTTTATCACAACTGGGTCAACTACAAGTAGAACAAGTGTTCTAAGCCAAAGACAATTCAACGCATACAAAAGGGAAGGCGAATAGCTCCGACTTAATGTGCATTTCAAAATCCCTGATGATTATCTTGACCTTTATTTTTTTTAATGACCGTGGTGTCTAGACTAGCTTTTGTGCACCTCGATTAATTCCATGGGTTAGCAACATGTACCAAGTAACTCTGTCCACGAAAGATAGGACAGATGAGAAGAATCCCCTAGTGTTTTTTGTCGCCTCTGTTTTGAACCTGAGACCTTAGGGTTCTCAATCACTTCATTTGACCTCTAGGTCACACCCTTGTAATCCACTCTTACTGTTTTTGTCTTTCTTAAAACTTATTATCTCATTTCACATGGATAAGCAAAGGTCAAGAAGTGTAGTGGGGATAGTCTTATAAAACCACAAAAAGTTTGTACGAACATGTTCATTTTAAAGGAATACAACACGAAAATATGTGATGATGATTGGTCATCTCAAAAGAAATAAATGATAGATGACTATTTTTTATTTTTTTTTATAACCGAGAAATTCGTCTGTGACCCGCCCTTTGGACCAATCACAGCCTTCTAAACTCGGTGGATAATGGCCCCGCCCCTCTACCCTTCTCCACTTAAATACCGGGCTTCGCTTTGCATGGTGTGGGGCTTGAACCTGTGACCTAAGCCACAAATCCTCCACCTTTTGCCACTTGAGCTAGGCCTTGGGGGCTAAATGATAGATGACTATATAGCAGCATATCTCATTAAAGATCCGTTTTTGCATCCATATTATCTTCAAAATTTACATCCTTCTATCTTTTTCTTACCTAGCTACTTTTTAGTTTAGATAGCACCCAGTTGTCCTATTGCAAGCATTTGCATAAAACACAAATAATTGTTTTTTTGTTTTGCTATCAAAGCTACTTAAATTATTGTTATTGAAATCATCCTCTTTCAAGCAAACTCATGTTGCAGCAAGTGCCATTGATTTGTCATCAAAAAAAAAAAAAAAACATGACATCATACAGTGGAATAGGGAGTAGTGGGTTACCTTCCTCGTTGAACTTCCTTATGCATGGACTCAATTTCAGCCTTGATTACGGGAAACTGCTGTAACTCGGAACCAACCTTGACGAGATCTTTCTCCATGTTCTGCAATTTGGCAGTGAGCTCTTTACGGTCGTCAACTAGGTTCTGAATATCGCTCCTAACCCGAGCCAACTCTACTCTAAGCTCATCGAGTATACGAACATCAGACTCCTTCTTCCGTGCCTCGTCGTAAACCTCACGGACCTCAGCATCCCTTTCGGTCTTGACGGTTGCGGCTGTGGAAGAGAGAAGACGGAGCTCGTGCTGGACGGCGGAGAGCTCCTGGTTAAGAGAGACGTGCGCGCCCGCTAGACTGCGGTTTTCCTGGAGCAGTTTTTCAATCTCGCGTTGCTGAGCCGCTTCCCGATCATCAATTAAGTCTGACGGGTGTATACGGGGTTGGGGTTGGGCTTCGGGTGGTGGAAAACGGCGGCGAGAATCGTCCGTTGTATAAGGGGCGTGGCGTCGTTTTCGTCTCGTCATGACCACTGCACAGATGGAAAAAGAGACCTCGCTGGTGTAAACCAAGAGAGAGAATTTCCTTTTGTTTTTTCTTTTCTTTTGGTAAAAACAAGTATTAATTTAAGGAGAAGCTTAAATATGTTTGACAAAAAACTCTTTGCTTTATATATTTCCATTTGAAAAAAAATATTCATTCATGGCATTATTTGCTCACTAGAATTAATTTTGTTGCAAAATCACTTTTTACATGTATTCAATTATGATTTGGTCACGTCATTAATTAAATCATTTTTTTTAAAAAAGAGCTCAAATATGTCATCGAACTTTCAGAAAAGACTTACTTATGATTGTCTCAAACTCTCGGTTATTCTATAATGTGACAATGTTTGTTTCTTAGCAAGTGCAATTTCTCAACTCATGTGCATGGTTCATTTGGTGTCACCTTGTTTCTAAGTCATTTTCAAAGATTATTTTTTATGTCAAACTTAACGATTAAATCGATAACCGAACTAATAAATAACTGATAAAAATATCTCAATAGTTTAGCATATCTACAAACTGATTATCGATAAGTCAAATCGATAAACTTCAAAACTGAACTGAACCGACCGATAGTTGGAAAGAAAAGTGCAAAAGAGTGTGCTCGTACAAGTTTAAACGAGGGCAAGTACGGACTTTATAAGGTCCTATGGTCCGTACAAGGCAGTCAAGGTATTGGAAGTTGGAATTTTTGAAGTCTCTGATAGGATTCCACAGGCCGATGGGATGGCTCGTGAATGGTTCTACGGGCCGTAACACTTGGTCACGGAGTGATGTTTGGGACTTAGAAGGAATTCTTGACTTGGGATGTACGAGAGGTTAATGGCTCGTGGAAGGGTTGACGGGTCATGGCTCAAAGTTTAGAATCTTTATCTCTGATATCTTGGTCTACAATTGACCAGTACGGGCCGTATGAGCTTGTACTCCGTAGGGTCAATTCAATAGATTTTAGTTCAGGGTTATTTGGGTTTTTTCCTACCTTTTTAATACCTAAGCTATGTCGTTACTAGATTATTCCTAAGCCCTATAGCTAATTTTACTCTACAAAATTCTCCCATTCCCTTTCTTTCCCTCAAAATCCCTAAAGCTCGCAAGGTTTTCTTCTCCAAGAATTCTCTATAGGTGATTTAGGGTTTCTTCAAGCTTTTAAGTCTCCTCTTCCAAGCTCAAGGCTAAAGTTCATTAAGGTATGTGGGAAGTTCACCAATGGATCCTTTTTCATCCATTGAATCCTAAAGAATCCTATATTTATCTCTCCTATGATTCCAACCCAAATTTTAGGATTTTGCATGATTTCTTATGGGTTCAATTGTTTATGAATAAATTCATTATATTCAATTTTATTTGCATGATCTGATCTAAGTTACATGTTTTTAATGATTTTCACATGAATTCATGCCACATGAATGTTTTATGATTTTAAATTAAGCTTGAAGATATGAATGCATTATGAATCGAGGAATTTATGGATCAAGGATGCTTTTAAATTAAGTAACAACATGCTTTATGAAAAGATTGCTTCCATTTGAAGTATTCTCATTATGAAAATAGGATCATGATTTAGATGTCTTAAATAAGTGTCATTACGAGTATGTTATGAAATCATGATTCTGAAAGGATCTATTCTATATATGTTATGAAGTTTACGATTGAATTGGTATTACTATATTCTTACCATTTCAAGGTATTATGGTTATGATATGATTATGCTTATTTATATTGGGAGTTTACTTAACACCGATTGGACTTTGTTGGAGGCTCACCTGTTAGTAGAGGTAGAGTTCTTTACTAGCAATCTACTTGTCCCATAACTATGTCCCCCCCCCCCCACCTAGGACTTTATCCAATTGGACATAGCTAGTGGATCCATCTAACCTTAAGATAATATGATCCTTACCTTGACAAGTAAGACACTCTCTTTTCAGTGTGGTAGTAGTACACCAGGCTCCATGTTATAGCTCACATGATTTATATCGGTTAACGGTAAACATCCCACAAAAGAATATGGTCTTGCACAACAGTTTATGACTTCCTCAAAGATTATGATTTAAGCTTATGTTATGATTTTCAAGTATTGCATTGACCTTATTTTATGCCTTATGATTACAGCTTATCAGATTTGAGATGTTTTACTTGATCATGCATTACTACGTCTTCAAATTTATCATGTTATCATATTTTATACTTATGTATCTTTTCTCATACTCATTATTTTCTAAGTACTAATGCATACATTCTCTTATGCCTATATTGTCAAATATTATATGTTCTATCATTCCTCCATCCATTGTGGCTAGTGGATTGATTAGCATTGCCTAACTTTTGGTGAGTTCTCGTGATTCAAGGACCTTGTCACGCATGTCTTTTATTGCTTTATGTCATTTTAGTTTTCAGATTATTCGTGAGCTAGGATTTGTTCTAGTCACATCTACGATTAGTAGAGGCTTGCTGTGAGATTTAGTAGCTTTTCACATTTTACCGTCTTTGTACTTTGATTTTGGTATCTTACGAGATATAGCTTGAGACTTATATTCCATTTTTATGCTTTATTTCAAGTATGGTGTTATCTTAGTGTCATGCTTATGTCAAATGACTTGTTTTAAGTCTTTCGTAATTCTATTTGCCATGTCACGTTTATGAGTAGTTTGGATCGTGACATCTTTTCTCAATGGAAATGGCATAAATAAGCTAAAATTTTAACAAATGGACCAAATAAGTGTGCTCGTGCAAGTTTAAACAAGGCCAAGTACAGACTATGTAAGGTCCTACGGGTCGTACAAGGCAGTCGAGGTCTTGGAAGTTGGAATTTTTTGAAGTCTCTGATAGGATTCCACAAGCCGACGGGATGGCTCGTGAATGATTGTTTGGGCCATAACACTTGGTCATGGAGTGATGTTTGGGACTTAGAAGGAATTCTTGACTTGGGATGTACGAGAGGTAGATGGATCGTGGAACGGTTGATGGGTCGTGGCTCAAAGTTCAAAATCTTGATCTCCAGTATATTGGTCTACAATTGACCGGTACGGATCGTAGGAGCTTGTACAGACTGTACATGGGTCTGTAGGGTCAATTTGATAGATTTTAGTTCAGGGTTATTTGGGTATTTTCCTACCCTTTTAATACCTAAACTATGTTGTTTCTAGATTATTCCTAAGCCTTATAGTTAATTTTACTCTTCAAAATTCTCCCATTCCCTTTCATTCTCTCAAAATCCCGAAAGTCCTCAAGGTTTTCTTCTCCAAGGATTCTCTCTAGGTGATTTACGGTTTCTTCAAGCTTTTAAGTCTCCTCTTCCAAGCTCAAGGCTAAAGTTCATTATGGTATGTGGGAAGTTTATCAATGGATCCCTTTTCATCCATTGAATCCTAAAGAATTCTCTATTTATCTCTCCTATGATTCCAACCCAAATTCTAGGATTTTGCATGATTTTTTATGGGTTCAACTATTTATGAATTTGACGAGAGGGAGTTGCTTGGATGGTAAGCACCCCTCACTTCCCACCCGAAGGTTGCGAGTTCGAGTCACCAAGGGAGCAAAAGGGGTGGGAGCTTCTAGGGAGGGTATAAAAAAAACTGTTTATGAATAAATTCATTATATTTTATCTTATTTGCATGATTTGATCTAAATTACATTCTTTTAATGATTTTGATATGAATCCATACCACATGAATGCTTTATGATTTTGAAGTAAGCTTGAAGATATGCATGCATTATGAATCGAGGAATTTATGGATCAAGGATGCTTTTAGATTAAGTATCAACATGTTTTATGAAAAAGTTGCTTCCATTTGAAGTATTCTTACTATGAAAAGAGGATCATGATTTAGATGTCTTAAATAAATGTCTTTACGAGTATGTTATGAAATTATAATTTTGAAAGGATTTATTCTATATATGTTATGAAGTTTATGATTGAATTGATATTACTATATTCTTACCATTTCAAGTATTATGGTTATGATATGATTATGCTTATTTCTATTAGGTGTTTACCTAGCACATAGTGGACTTTGTGATAAAGGCTCACCGATTAATAGAGGCAGAGTTCTTTACTAGCAATCCCCTTGTCCCATAACTATGCCCCCCCCATAAGGACTTTGTCCGATTGGACATAGCTAGTGGAATCCATCTAAGCTTAAGAAAAAATGGCCCTTACCTTGGCAAGTAAGACACTCTCTTTTCAGTATGGTAGTAGTACACTAGACTCCATGTTATAGCTTATATGATTTATGTCGGTTAACTGTAAACATCCCACAAAAGAATAAGGTCTTCCACAACAGTTTATGACTTTCTCAAAGATTATAATTTAAGCTTATGTTATGATTTTCAAGTATTGCATTGACCTTGTTTTATGCCTTATGATTTCAGCTTATCAGATTTGAGATGTTTTACTTGATCATGCATTACTACGTCTTCAAATTTATCATGCTATCATATTTTATACTTATGCATATTTCCTCATACTCATTATATTCCAAGTACTAATGCATACATTTTCTTGTGCCTATATTGTCTAATAATATAAGTTCTATCATTCCTCCATCCAATCGTGGCTAGTGGATTGATCAGCATTGCTTAACTTTTGGTGAGTTCTAGTGATTCGAGGACCTTGTCACGCATGTCTTTTATTGCTTTATGTCATTTTAGTTTTCAGATTATTCATGAGCTAGGATTTGTTCTAGTCACATCTATGATTATTTGAGGCTTGTTGTGTTCCCCTACAAACGATTCGAGCTAAAATTGATTATTGCTCTTATATAGTTCGAACTGTCTATGGAATAAACTTAGTAGCTTTCCACATTTTACCATCTTTGTACTTTGATTTTGGTATCTTATGAGATATAGCTTGAGATTTATATTCCATTATGCTTTATTTCAATTATGTTGTTATATTAGTGGCATGCTTATCTCAAATGGCATGTTTAGAGTCTTTCGTTATTCTATTCTCCATGTCACGTTTAGGAGTAGTTTGGATCATGACATCTTTTCTCTATGGAAATGACATAAATAAGCTAAAATTTTAACAAGTGGACTAAATGAGTGTGCTCGTACAAGTTTAGATGAGGCCAAGTACGAATTGTACAAGGTCCTACGGTCCGTAAAAGGTAATCGAGGTCTTGGACGTTTGAAGTTTTTGAAGTCTCTGATAGGATTGCACGAGTCGATGGTATGGCTCGTGAATGGTTGTATGGATCGTAACACTTGGTCATTGAGGGATGTTTGGGACTTAGAAGGAATTCTTGACTCAGGATGTACCAGAGATCAATGGCTCGTGGAAGGATTGACGGGTTGTGGCTCAAAGTTTGGAATCTTGATCTCTAGTATCTTGGTCTACAATTGACCAGTATTGTGCGTCAGATCTTGTACGGACTATACATGGGTCCATAGGGTCAATTCAACAAATTTTAGTTCAGGGTTATTTGGGTATTTTCCTACCCTTTTAATACCTAAACTATGTCGTTTCTAGATTATTCCTAAGCCCTATAACTAATTTAATCTTCAAAATTCTCCATTCCCTTTCATTTTCTCAAAATCTCGAAAGCTTGCAAGGTTTTCTTCTCCAAGGATTCTCTTTAGGTGATTTAGGGTTTCTTCAAGCACTACAACAAAATTGATTTTTAACGACCAAATTTTAACGAAAGAATATAAATCCAATCGTTATAGGTATATATATTCCGTCACAATTTTTTTCCCGTCGTTAAAAGGCAATTTTAATATAATATTAATGAAAGGACAATATCCGGACTTAAGAAAATTAATACCCAGACGTTAATAATAAACTAATGATACATACTTTTATTTTAATTAACAACCCATTTTATTTTAACCCTTTTTATATTTAACAATTTATTTATTTTTAACAAATAACTTATCCTCTATTACCCTATCCACCCACCCATCAGAACTAGGTCTCCCATTACCCCCACCCCTCCGTGAGAAAACATCAAGCTTCAGAGAGATGATGAACAATCTTCTTGATTTTTCCGCTCACAAACTTGCACCACCCACGCCACTTTCTCCACCACTTCGAAGAGATGCGGCAGTTTCTCAACACATTGTCCTTCTCTTACGCTAGAAAGTGAGATACCTAAAGGAGATAACTCATAAAACTGATTTGTTGGAGAAAAATCAGTAAAACAGACCACGAAAATTCTGGTACCTTTAACTCTAGGTATCTGTTCAAACTCTTATAAAGGAAATCAACTCCATTTTTTTCTAATTGCAGAAGTCAGCTTTCGTTTTTGACTCTAAATTTCACCTGATTGTTGTTGTTCTTTGCTGTGTGTTACGCTAGAAAGTGAGATACCTAAGGGAGATAACTCAGAGAACTGATTTGTTGGAGAAAAATCAGCAAAACAGACCACGAAAATGCTGGTACCTTTAACTCCAGGTATTTGTTCAAACTCTTATAAAGGAAATCAACGCCATTTTTTTCTAATTGCAGAAGTCAGCTTTCGTTTTTGACTCTAAATTTCACCTGATTGTTGTTGTTCTTTGCTGTGTGTTACGCTAGAAAGTGAGATACCTAAGGGAGATAACTCAGAGAACTGATTTGTTGGAGAAAAATCAGCAAAACAGACCACGAATATTCTGGTACCTTTAACTCCAGGTATCTATTCAAACTCTTATAAAGGAAATCAACGCCATTTTTTTCTAATTGCAGAAGTCAGCTTTCGTTTTTTTACTCTAAATTTCACCTGATTGTTGTTGTTCTTTGCTGTGTGTTACGCTAGAAAGTGAGATACCTAAAGGAGATAACTCATAAAACTGATTTGTTGGAGAAAAATCAGTAAAACAGACCACGAAAATTCTGGTACCTTTAACTCTAGGTATCTGTTCAAACTCTTATAAAGGAAATCAACTCCATTTTTTTCTAATTGCAGAAGTCAGCTTTCGTTTTTTACTCTAAATTTCACCTGATTGTTGTTGTTCTTTGCTGTGTGTGACAATAATTTAGCATCTTCTTGGAGTTCCCTTCTTTTTAAAGTATGTTCTTTTGTTTTGACTATGAATTGTTAGGTGAAAATTCTGATTTTACCCAATTTTATGTTTATTCTTTATGAATAATCTAGTTGTTTTCAGTAGGTTTTTGGTGTACATGATCTTAAATTATGTATACTAGTCATTTCCAACATATGTTTGTGTGTACTTTCTGCAGTAGCCTCGATTGATAATAAAAGAAGTCATAATAGTGATAATTATTGAATAAATTTGTCAATCTGAAATCTGATAATTTCCAGGACAAAATTTTCATTATCCTTCACAAGTGTAATTCTACCTTATAATATGATACAATTTTTTGTGTAAACTGTGGAGATTAGGTTTCCTTATTCCCATTTTCTTTATTTGTTTTGTTGTTCTAGTCAAAACACAGTAGTTGTAGCACTAATATGAGTTCAAAATACTAACTTTTTTATAACAACGAGAGTGGCCGAGGACCTGACCTTTTATGTACATAGGACACTGCAATCTTTGCAAAAAATGTAGCAAGGAGGAATTCTATATATAATCTTTTTGATAATCTATTGTAACTTTAATACAATAACTTACAAAATATTAGCTTTGTCACATCTAAGTCTGTTGAAAATTTCGCCCTAGTCTTATTGGGTTTGTTCTATCTATGTTGCTTTATTACTTTATGATTATGATCTGTATCTACACGTACAAGTATACATCTTGAATTTTTCCACCGTGGGAATAAGATTCGTTCTCAAAGCCATTTCTTGGTTAAGCAATACATAACTCATGATTTGATAACGAGTCACAACAACATTTTGATGTACACATGGAGTTGAGGTTGTAATATTGCCTTTCTTTTTCCTTTTTCTTGAACTAGAAGTAGCTCTTTGAGTATTGTCCAGTCATTCAAAGAAAAGACGTAGTTCAGGCTCTTACATTATTGTTAAGTTACATTAAATGATTACAGTGTAACATTTCCTTGCATTATCGTTAAGTTGATGACATTTTTATAATACATGGTTCTGCCCTGCTTGGATTGACTCCACTCCCCTGTATTCTACTTCTTTAATTTGGGGTCTGCTTAAGACAGCTTCACGTGGTTCCATGGCTTAGGCTAGGTCTACTTTCAAAAAATTTACAGTATGTGCTACTATTAGCATGATTAAACTCTTCTATATATTTACAATTCAAAATGCATAGCCTATTTAGGATTTAAAAAAATCCATGTCTCTGTTTAATATCATCTTAGATGTGGGAAAAATATTGTATATTCTACAATCTATCAAATAGTACTAAATCAATACCTATGTTAAAAGAGGTTTTTCATGTGAAGATCTGACTGTGAATACATGTTCTTTTTCAGAGTATACATCACCTTCAATTGACAATTCAACGATTCATTTTCCCCTGAAACTCCAAAGTCACTGCCTCTCTGTGTTATTCTAGTGAGTAGTCACCAATAAACCTTCTCCTATGGGTAACAAATGGGCATTTAAGTTTTCACATCTCCATGATCTCATTCGCAACACGTTATACACCAAAAAGTAGCATTATTTTCCCTGATTCTTCATGTTGTTTTGTGAATGCCTTCACATTTGTTAATGTTGCAGTTAATTACTACACAATCTGTTTTTTCTGTCTAACCTTGTTCTTCTGTATGATCTTTTCCTTGTGTAGATACTTTCAAATTGAATAGGAGTTAAGAATTAACATTAATTACTGTTGAGAATTAATATGTTGCATTCAGGGTTCATACATCCTTCTTTGCTTTCCTATATTTTTTCTTTCTTAGAAACTGGATAAATTCTTTTAAATCAGGCAATACACATAGCATTGGAAAGACTATACTGAAATTATTTCTCTGATTTCATGTAGCTGGTTGATTTTTTTGTAGGCTCTTTGTTTCATTTCATATTTTCTTTTCTATGAAGTGCATCTCATTTACGCTTATTTCTTTCTCGGTTGGTGTAGACTTCAATTCTAAATCTATCAGTGGTGCTTCTTGCTGTTGAAAGTGACTGCAAAAAATACTCTTTTGAAGGCTCTGTGTTGATTTGTTTTGTAAGGTATGTTTTTTTTTCTAAGCCTTTTTTCTTTACTAATATTTTTTTGAAAATATTTCATGTATTTGTCCAAATTTTTTTGGTCATTTCTTTTGCTATGTTATTTAATCTGGTCTTATCGGCCATTTCTTAAGAGGTACTGGTGGTTGCGATCTTTTAGTGTGTTTCATCGATTTTTGAGTAATGGTAACTACTACTGTCCAAACTTTAATGTGTTCAATACATGTATTAAAAAATTGCAGAACTGTAAGAAAGTTTAAATGCTACAAACAGAAAAATATAAATACTTCACCTTTTTTCTTTAGTCTTTACATACTCTTCTATAAATATAATGGGATCAAATTATAGGACTTATCTAACCTTGTTTGTAATTTTATAAATTTGTTGTGAACCTACTTTGTATATTCAGTTCCTAATCATAAATGTAGAGACTATAGACCAGATCATCTTGATGAGTTTTCCAACTTTTCAAGAATTTCAAATGAACTGTGAATTTTTTAGCTTTAATTTTACATAAATAACATATGTTGTCAATATCTTGGTCACTGTTTTGGAGTTTAGTTGCAAGCAAATCTTGGTATATTTCTCATGTAATCACCATTTGATTCCCTCATTTGCTTTAAAATCATCTGCAAAGTTTGTTCTGCCTATACATTCAAGAAAAA